CCTCAAATCGATCATGTCGACTGTCAAAGGAAAGTATATATTGTGTATCAAGTTAATATGAAAAGTATATATTGCAATCAATATATCTAGGAAGGGTTAGTAAAATATATATACTTTATAGTAAGTCTGGGTATAGTTTAGGTATATGTGATTTAGTTTCTATTATTGTCATATGTAATTTGTTTATAAAAGACAAGTATGTATATTCATATAATTAATGGACACTGAATCTCTTCAGAGAAACCTGAGATTCTTCACATAGTATCAGAGCCAGATTCTTCACCGTATCTATTCTTGTAAGATCGAGTGTGTTAAATTGCTATTCTTTGGTCCTATCCCATCTGATGGAGCCATGAAACCATCAAATCTTCTTGCTATGTTTTTTGTTCTTTCGTGTGTTTTCCGATGTTGTTTTTCTCTCTCTAGAATCTGACGTTGTCTTTCTATTTACCTGTTTTGATGTTGTGGAGTGTAAGGCTTTCTTCGTCTTCTCTAATTCACGCTTTAGTGAGGTGAGTTGTAGAGAGAGAGGGTGTAAGATTGTAGGGAGAGAGTAAACATTGTTTTTCATATGTTGTTTGTGTTAATAAATTAGAATTTACATGGTACTGCAAGCCCTCTCTCTAGCATTGCATAGGAAAGATGATGGCATTAAAAGGGAAGTGGTCTCTCTTTTGATGAAAACATGAAGAGACCATCGTCCAAAGGAGGTAGGAAGTATTCAAAGTTTGGCCAACAGATTTGCCTGATTGAACAGGCAACTACATGTGGCCATTACCTTAACTTCGTCTTCACATGTTGTGGGTTGTCTCCAAGGGTGAATATCTTCCATGATTCGGAGGAGTTGGGGCTCTTGGGGCTCCCAAATGAAGAAGACTGGCCACTGGAGCTGCTTGGGGTAGATGCCTCCTGCGTTGATGTAGTTGTTGTCGTCATCTTCGAGTTAGACAGCAGCCTGCTCACAACATAGTAGAGATCAAGGGAAGGAAAATTATTACAGAGGGAGCGGTCCTTGTGGTCATGGTCGAATCCAAAACCCAACTCGATGCACCCTTTTCAAATCTTCGAGGTCCCCATCCGTCAAATTGTTTTGAAACCCTTCAATAAAAAATAAAACAAAATGGAAATACCCAAATATGAAATCAAATCGATCCTTTGAAAACCTTGATATGCAACCAACCCTCTGTCTCATGGAAAAAAAAGCTCTAAAACAAACTAAAAATCTGTCAGATATGAATCGCTCTAAAAACCGCCTCTGAAAACTATCATTGAAAAACCAACTTTGAAACCTGTTGTCTCTGAAATCTCTGAAACCTCGATCTAAAGCTGCTCCTCTACATCAGCAACCACCTCTGATACTCACTTTGAACCTCTTGTGAAATCAACCGGCCTATGAGTAACGACCTTTGAAAATTCCTCTAAAATCTGATCTGACAAAAAATAAAAATAATAAAAAAATATTATGTATTGTTTATGCTATTATCTTCACTATGTATGTTCTTTTGATATTATATTCTTTGTCTGTTCTTTTCTGCATGATCGAGTATATTGTTTTGTTACTCGATCCTATCTGATCTGGTCAGCGTGCTACTGAATTTGTTTTGGATCTACATCGAGTTCTATTAGCTCTTCCAAGTGTCATTTTGTTATCTCCGCTGTCCTGACTGCTTCGTCTGGAATTTTTTGTCTGATTGATCGAACCTACTCTGATATGGTTCTCAGTTCCTGAGGCTATCTGTTCATAAGGCTTGTTGATCCATCACTACTTTCTGTGCTTGTTGATCAAGCAATCTGAGCATAGCAACTATTGTTTCTACTAGTCATGCTATACACCTGAAGATCTATTTGCACATTTCCACAACTTAGCACTTAAACTCCAACTACTCTCTCATAACATCTTGAGTTTGAGGGGGAGTACAAAAATAAAGTATGTATCAGGTTAATATGAAAAGTATATATTGCACTTATATATGGGAAAGGTTAGTAGGATATCTGTACTTTATGGTAAGTCTGGGTATAGTTTAGGTATCTGTGATTTAGTTTCTATTTTTGTCATATGTAATTTATCTATAAAAGATAAGTACGTATATTCATATGATTAATAGATACTGAGTCTCTTAAGAGAAATATGAGATTCTTCACATAGACCTCAAGATGTATGGACATGAGAAAAAATAGATATCAAGTCTTGGAAATGGTGCATCTTGCAATGCATTTTTTGGACCATTAATTTTCAAGATTTTGAAGCAATCATAGATTTGCTTCATCTACACTATTTTTGGAGCTTTAAATCTCATAATTAGATATGATAATAAATTTCAGGCTATCAGAAAAAATTTCAATATTAAAACGAGATATTTCAATACAATTTAAAGGTGCGTCTTACTTTGTTTGTTTAGGGTCCTGGCCTTATGCAAACCACACCCTTTAAACATTGCCATATATATACTACTTGGGAATACACCATGACATAAGAACAAGGGGTTCACTATGGGGAGAGAGCCAAAAAGAGAGCTTTCTCTTTCATTGTGGTTTGTATAAGATTGAAACTTTATTTACAAAAGTAAGGTATGTATTTTACATACTTTTTTAGGGAATATTACTTAGGTATGTATTTTACATACTTTTTTAGCAAATATTACTTATATATCCATTATAGTTTTTATTATTATTAGATACCAAATAGTTTCCGTTATTACTAGAATGTCTGTTTTTTTCACTTCACAACGAAACATTTTTTAAAAAGGGTTTTTTCCCCTTTTTCTATTTTTGAACAATCGAAAATAGTTTACATTCTTATTTTCGCTTGTTGAACAACCGAAAAGGTCTAGTTTTCGGTTGTTCAACAACCGCAAACATGACTGCATATTCCAGAAGCTTGCTAGAATATGTAATTATATTTTTGATTATTAAACATAAAAAAATGTCTTGTTTTCAATTGTTGAACAACCGAAAATATGACTGCGTATTCTAGAAGCTTGCTGGAACATTTTATGTTGTTTAACATCCGAAAATGTTTTATTTCGGTTGTTCAATATCCAAAAATGTCCTATTTTTGGTTGTTGAACAACCGAAAATAAGGCAGAAGCTTGCAATTTATATTCTTATTTTCATTTGTTCAACAACGGAAAATGAGATTACGTATTCCAAAAGCTTAAACGAGCCCCTATATTTTCGATTGTTCAAGAACCGAAATTAACTTATTTTCGATTTTTTAACAACTGAAAATCTAGCCGATTGTTCAAAAACCAAAAAAGGGTAAAAAAAGTATTTTTTAAAAATTTTCGTTATAAAGTGAAAAAAAATGGCATTCCAATGCTAATGGAAACTATTTGATATTTTGTTAATAATGGAAATCATAACGGATATATATATAATTTTTCCTATTTTTTAAGATAATGTCAACAGGTGCCACGTCTTTAAAAGAGCTTTAAATCTATACCACCGGTAGATTATTAGAATATAACTCATACTTGCAACTTTACATAAACTTTTTCTTTAGCCGATGCTTTACTTAACCTAGGTATTGTTCTCGTTCCTAGATTGACGATCTGGATTGAGTCTGAATTAGTTGGAATCGATAATCTAAAAAATATTAAAAAATAAATAATATAAAATAAAAATTAAAATGAAAGCTTATAGGGTGCGGATATGGAGGGACCTTCCAGATTGGCAACCCATGTCAGAAGTCTATGAACTTCAAAACTGTGACCAAATGACATGTCCCTTGAACCTTCCACTTTACCTAGCTGTGTTATTAATCAAGTTAAATGCACGTGGCAACACACATTCTCTCTCTAAATCTACCTTCCAAATGACAGTTACACACTTTCTCTCTCTAACCTCTGGTGAACCCCCAAACCCCAAAGCTCCAAGAGGGTTTAAAAAAAAAAAAAATTTATATACCTTAAACTGTTGATGTAAGGTGGATCTAAAAAATCCTACAATAGAGAGCGTTTAGACATCGGAAAACCTTCCAACACATCTCGACCTTGAGATGGATGGACATTAACAAAAAAAAAAGAGAGTTTTACGTCAAAAAAATATGTATCTTACAATAAGTTATTTGGATCATCTATATTCAAGATTTCGAAATGTTTTTTAATCTCTATTATTTTTCAATTTTACAATTTATAAATTAAAAATAAATTGTTTTTGAAGGCATTATGAAATTTTCGACACCGTGGCAGCATGTTATAGGTGAGCCGTACTTCTACAGTAGAAGGAAGAAACCTTATACAAACCTCACCCTTGAAAATGTTTCTATTTTTACGCGCGCCTTTTCAACATGGTTACTAACACTCTCTCTCTAAAAACATTTCTATTTTCACATGCGCCTTTTCACCAAATTTAGTAATCTCTCTCGCTCTGTCAAATTTTTCTCTTTTTCATGCGCGCCTTTTCTCAATAATTACTAACCCTCTCTCTCTCCCCTCCTTCTCTCTCATCGTAAATAAAAGTTGCAGTTGGCATACAGATCCATCCGTAGGTGTAGTGGTAAGGTTCATGGTATATAATTTTGACGTAAAATATTTTTAGGACTATCTCAAAATTTATTTTTATAATTAATTAGAAAAATTTTAAACTTTAAAAATGATTAAAATTAAGTAGATCTATAAACATATGAAAATCTTGAAAATGTACGGTACAAATAATATGTCATAAAATGCATTATTTTTAAGATTTAAATTTTTTTTATTTTTTATAATCATACATCTCGATGTTGAGATGAACATTAAAACTATCTTTTTTTTGATGAATTTTTGAAGTGCATTCGTGGTTCTACATTATAAGGGTGACATATGAAAATATTAAAAATGGACAATGTAGGTAATATCTTATAAAATGCATGCATTACTTTGGATATTTAAAACTTTTTTATTTTTCATGGTCATAAATTTTGATATCTTACCGATCAAAAAGTTTTTTAACATTAAAACAATCTTTTTCTATAGATTTTTGAGATACATCCATAGTTCTACATTATAAGGTTGCCTCCTTAAAACTTTTTCCATAAAACAAACCAGAAATAGGCGCAGGGATTGAGACGAATCACATAGACACATCTCAAACACTCTATTTTTGAGCACTGCAATTAAAATCCGAGCGGGTATCTCTCCATTCGTCCTCCTTTCTCCCTCTCCCTCTCTCCTCTCCACCTTCTTAAACCCCTCCTCTCCTCCTTTCTTCACCTCAATTTACCCTAAATCTCTCTCTTCTCGATCCAGTCGTCGGTCTCTTGCAACCCTAGCTCTTCATACTCCTATTGCTTTCTCTCTCTAGAATGTCCAGCCACGAGGGTTTCGAGCTCCCGACGATGGCAACTCCCCTAAACCATGAAACTGCTGCGAAGCACCAATCGGGACGCTTGCTCCATCAATCTCCACAGTCTACTGAAAACCCCAACGATGACGGTGGGTTGATGGAGGCCATGATGGGCGAGCACGGAGGAGGGGGAGAAATCCTCTCTTCTCTGCCTGAAAAGCAGCCGGATTTGTCCGGGGCGCCTGGTTTTTCGAACGAGATTCAGGCTGGAAGTCAGTTTCACGGTGAGGTCGATATGGGAGGAGGTGCTCTCGTGGTCTGTGACACACCTGCCGGGAAAATGGAGGCTTTATCGGAAAAAAGAGCAAATGATCTTTCAGCTGTGAGCTCGCCTGATTGGTTACCAGCTGGTTGGATCACTGAAATTAAGGTTAGGGCTAATGGTTTAACGGCTGGAACGAAAGATAAGGTAATTGCCATTTTTCTGTTTTTTGTTTTGCTTGTTAGTGTTCTTCTATTTATTTTTTTCATTTAGCTGCATTAGTGAAATTTTTATGGTTTTGTTTAAAATGGAGGAACTCCATTTCTTTGGTTGATTTTGTTAATTGAATTGGTCTCTTTGTAATGAAAGAGTTAACCAATTGACTGATAGGTTGAGAAATTGGGGACTACATTACTTTTTGTAGTGTTGAAGTTCAAGTTTTGAGCTCCCGAATTTGGTTTTGACATATGGAAAGTGGCCGAATTTTTTTTTTTTTTATAATAAACTGAAATACTTGTTCCTACATTTAGATTGTTGCTTGCTTGTTATTTCTTGTGCTGTATGACATGTTTTTTTCTGCTATTTCTCCTTGTTTTAGAAACAAGGTAGTTCTTTGGTTAGTGTTTCAAGTAGGATTGTAGGTTCGAAACTTAGTTTTGTGTTTAAAATTCTATGAATCAATTTAGAAGTTTCGATCATAGAATCATCCATGTATATACAATACATGTGGTAGGATGAAATGTGTAGTTCTTCTGAATAATTATGTACAGTAATATGTATCAGTTGTGGATGGGATCTTGATTTCCATTTTTCTTTCTTCTTCTATTTCTTTCTCTTTTATTGCCATAGAGTAATAAAATTTTGTATGCATCCAAAGTGGTATTGATATAATAAGTATTGAAGGACTTAGAGGCGTGTAAACCCATTGATACACCTAATTTTGGAGTTTGAATCTATCTCAAAAATGTTCCCAAGTTGTGAGGGAGAGAGGAAACTAAGAATGCTTCTGTTGGTTCAGGTGGTTGACTTCTTTATATTACACTGCATGCTAGGCCTGATCTGTGTTTTGTGATGGACTGGAATAGTTAAGTGGCAGATAATAAAAATAGTTCCTTTTTTTGCCGTTAAATGATAAAAGTGATTTTTTGATGTGATTACAGAATGAACACATTCGTAGGAATTGTGTTGTCCTTATAATGATTGTAAACTACCAGGTTGCTAGAGTACTTGAAAGCAGGCATTGATTACAATAGATACCCCTTTCCTAAAAACGATAAAAGTATATTCAAGTACTTAACGTCCAAGGGGGGAAGGGATCTCTCATCATAATGTATCTGTACTCATCCTTAGTTGGACGTGTCAGTTTTGGAGTTTGCTTTATGAGGCATGTGGTAAAGCGAGGTTGTTCTTCGATTGCTGATAGGCATAATATCGTCTAGGTTAATTGCTAGTTTCCATGGACAATCTGACCGTCCTTTTGTCTTGTTAATAACATGGAGGGTTTCGCCCTCAACCATTAGGTGGGGGTGGGGGTGGGGGTGGGGGTGGGGCGGGATTGGATTTGTCAGTTGGAAGAATGCCTATGGGCCAGTGAAAAGTGGTCTTGTTTCAGAGAAACTCAAGGTTTATATAGACACATGATGAGGGTGTGTGACGAGCACCTGGACTCGCCAACATGGCATATTGTGGTCCATGCATGACATGGGTTTTGCTATTTACTTATGTCATCAGTGATATCTATATGTATGTGTATAATTGCGTGATATTTCGATGTATAGAGTTATGTGTGTATGTAAGCATGCATGTATATATCATGTATGTGTATATAATTGAGCTATCTGAATGAAACAAAAAATGTGAGAGACTGAGAATCATCCACTAACACTATAAAACATCGTTGAATTATTTAATATTATTTAATGTCTTAGAAATGGAAGAAAGAAATGTATTTACCTGTACTTTTGGGTTTATCCACATGGCCTGAGATTCTCAGGCTTCTTTCAACATCAGTGGAGTCAAACAACAAGGCTGGGATGTGCCTACCTTCTGTCTTTTTGTGCTACTTCTTAGGGTTTAAGTGAGATACTGTAGTTCTCTCTGAAAGTTGCCTGGAACTTGAGAAGCAACGAGATGGTAAGTACCCCACCAAATAATATCACTACAGCTCATAGGTGAGGAGGACCTGGGAATGTGTCTGGTGATAGTTTGTCTGATTTGCTTCTCTCCATTGTTTTTGACATTGGTATTTGGATATTCTTGGCTCCACCAGTGCACAATAGGGTAAATGTCACAAACCGAAATGGCATGTTTTGAAAAGATTTTTTGAGGATCAATAAAACCTTGTATCATTTATCCTTAGGAAGTCATATAGTCCATTTTTGGACTTTTCGTGTGTATGGGCATTTCAACTAGGACTGCCTTGTTGCACTGTTTTTTGGTGTTGAATGAGATTAATGTCAAGCAAGCAACTTACCATCAGCGCCTAGCTGACTGTGCATTCTGTGTTTGTCTGTATTATTATTATTTTTCTTAAAAAAATATTGCCTTAACAGGTAATATTTTTATTGAATATAATATAAAGGGTTCAGCTTTAGTGCTGCCCAACCAGCCCTAGAACACTGTTGTCCCTACTCTCCTCCCCCGGCCTCTTTTTAAAATCCCTTTTTTCCGTGTATTCAGGATCCAGAGTCTTCTCTAAACACCTGCAGATCCATTTCTGACCTGAAAAAAAAGGATTTTTGGAGTTCCTAAAATGGTGGAAACCTGATCGACCTAGGGTCTATTGTAATACGTGGTCCACATCACATGTTGAGATTACAATCAAGATGGATTATTTTTTAGGGTCCTAATTCATTTCTTTTTTCTTTTTTTTTTCCTTGGATCTTGTTCTAGGATGTCAAGGGATGGATTTGTGGAATTTTGGGTCTTCATGAATTTTGAGAAAAGGGGATGAAGGAAGAAAGGGGTGTGGGGCGAGGGGTTTGGTAGTTGGAGTTGGTAGCTGGACCCTACCGATGCAATAGTAATATCAATTAGTATGTTAAATTTTAGAATGTAAATGATTGCGTTCCGATTCCCAGGCACATACAAACTTCCCTAGGTGCCATCTGGCACTTTTGACTAAATTAATATGGTGAGAGGCAATACCTAGCTGGCAAAGTGCATGGCCTAGTAGGTCTTTGGAAACTTTCTATTCTTGAAATTTCTTAAATTTTTTTTTTCCCCACCCCCCTGAAATTTCTTGGAAACATGGTGTTTTCCAAATCTGGCTATAAGCTAGAACTGAAACAGTAACTGCAGATTGAGTAAGTTATCTCCAAATAGTTACATGAAGCCATGCAGTTTTACCCAGAATTAAACAAACAAATAAGATGCAAGTCACATGAAAATCATGTCAATAGGATACTATTAATAAAGCAATGGAAGAAATTTCAGAGCAATGCTGTCATTTCCTCAATATCAAGAAAATGATTGGACGAGTGTCATGACTCCTGAGTGACCTTTTATGGACTTTTCTATGTTACTGGACAATATGCATGTTCTTCTAGTGACATAAAACCAGTAAGTTCTAACAGCTGTAATGGTAAAGTGAAGTTGTTGCCTCAGCTGAGTCATTCTTCATCCTCATATCCTCTTGTTCTGGATTAATTGGCATCTGATTTATGGAATTTTGTGGAATTCATTGCTTACTAAAATCGCACACCATGATGTCCATGTTAGCAATTGTTAAAATAGGTTGAGAAATTGTATCTGGTTATATTTGCTTGTATGTATGCATATATCTATGTCTGTATTTATATATTTTATTGTTCTGTGGAAATTAAGAGTGCTATTAACATCTGGATGCACATACATGTTCATAATGTATGTGAATGTAAGCCTTAATGCTTTTGTGCACTCACCCATTCGTGTCTGAGTAAAATCAGAGTAAGACCAATACATGATATCTGGATGTGCAGTATTTCTATGATCCAGTTTCAAAACGTAAATTCCGATCCAAGAAAGAGGTGTTCAGCTTTTTGGAAACAGGGAAGCTTGGAAGGTACAAGCCCAAACCAAAATCTGATGTAGCAGAAGCACAATCCTCTGAAAAAGAAACCAATGTGAGTTTTAAAGTGGGACTAAGCACAAAGATGCCATAAGCTTTGTTCATTCTCTCACTGTTTCTGCTCTGTTTTTTTTTCTTTTCCGTCTTGGCCTTTTGGGGTTGTATCTTTTGTTGGTTTATTGATTTTTTTTTTGGGTTGAATTTTTAGCCTCCTTCTAGCTCAAAAGTTCAGAGAAATAAGTTGGGATCAAGCTCACCGAAGAAGAAGGGTAAGTTTGATTTCGTAAACAGGCCATCAAGTGTTAAATGGGTATTGGAGGCAGAGGGACAATGGCTAGCATTTATCGATGGCCAGGAGCTGCCTGAATCCAGTAAGAAAGCATGGGTTTCTGCTCTAGGTCTCAACGCCAGTGGTGTCGACGCATTTCAAGAGTATTTTTCAGTCTGAATAACCTTCTGCATTTTTTCTGTAATTTTTTCAAAGTTTGGGCTTCATTTTTCTCCCCTATGAGCACCTACTTCTCATTGGGGGAAAACTATATCAAGCGCTGGTTTTGGAAAATTTTGCTAAAATGGCAGGGGTTTTTGGACGATTTACAAAACTAGCACTGGTTTGGAAAATGCGGCCTGACTATTCTGTGATTGGAAAGGCAATGAAGATATGCCACTCATTTTTGAGATGACGTAGTATTGGACACGTCTCTCTCTCTCTCTGATCAGCTGTCCTCTCTCTCATGTGCTCTCTGCTCTTTCTCTCATCATCTCTCCACTTTCTCTCGTTAGCTGTCAATCATCTCACTCTCATTAGCTCTTTGTTCTCTCTCTCTCACTTATCGGTTCTTCACTCTCTCTTATTAGCTGCTTCCCACTGTCTTGCTCTCGCTCACTCTCCCTTTCCCTCTCCTTCTCTCTCTCTCTAGCTTTGTTGTTGTTGTTTTGGTTGGAAGGGGGCGGGGGAGACATGCTACTGCAAAATAGGTCATTTTCCAGAAAGGTTTGGTATTTGCATCTTTCCTTTTCATACTTTTGAGGATAACTTGGCCATTCTTTGATGAAAACCAGTGTGAGACTTCGTATATATGCTTTTCAAAACCAGTGCTAGTTTTTTGACATTTAGATTTATACATCTCTCTCTATCTCTCTCTCTCTCATCTGCTGAAGTTGCTGTTTTATGCAGGTGAAGCCAAGAACACCGAAATACCAGAACCTGAAGTGAATGCAGGAAAGAAGCTGTGCTTACCATGGGTCAGCCCGTCATCAGAAGATGCGCTTCCTGGTGGTTCTCACCTCAGAAATGTAGCGCGGTCATTTGAAGGGGTAACCCCCAACCAAGTGACTCCTCAAATAGTAGCCAACCCTAAAAAAGCAGTTCAACCTCCAACAATAACGCAAGGAGAGACAAAGAAGAGAAAAAGAATGAATGCAAGACCGGAAAGAGATGTTCTCCTACTGCTTGGGAGAAACTTATGTAAGCAAGCTGTATCAGATTTGAAGGAAAACAAGGATCCTAAATATTTTGAGATTCAAGGCAAGGACTTTCCCCTAGGAAATCGTAGTGAGCTAATACTCTGAAATAAATCATAGGGTTTCCTAATTCATTCACCTAATTCATTCACAGGGGTTATGTGTTATTTCCTTATTGTCATTAGTTCCTTGGCTTTTCCTTGAGCAAGCTAGTGTTTGAGGAGCTGGGGTTGCTGTGATTTTATAGTCTAGCATGGTGGTCATTTTTCGATCGTAGTTTTGCGTGTTGTGCATTGCTCATTTGCGGGCTTTGCCATGCTTGCATGAGCGCAAGCATTCGAAATTTCTCTCTTCCAACAGGCACAGGTGATAGAAGCACTCAGTTTCAGAAGCAGCATTGTGGAAGAGCATGGTATCTCGATCTTCCAAGGGTGGCGTTTGGCTTTCTGCCTGCGCGCATATAAAATCCTTCTCTCATACACATACATACACATACACATTAGAATAGGGCTGTCGTTAATAAATGGTAGCAATATCCGATTTTCCAATATCTCATTATGCGGTTGGGATTGGAAGAGTCTTCTATGGTGTAGAAGTATTTAAATAACGGCAGGAATACTGAAGCCTTGTATTTCTGTATCAAAAAATCTCTAAGGTAAATGGATTTGTGAATCTTTCAAATTCAAAAGTTGTAGTCGTTTTTCTAACAATGAGTTTGAGTTGATTACTTAAATTATTGGGTTGCAATTTAATCTTTTAATTTGGAGCTAATTTGATCTGTAAGACGAGGATCGAAAAAATGCACAGCATCGCAGGTGTATCGAAACCTCGAGGTTGTAGGTTTCCAAAAGAACTTTCCTCCATAGACTTTTTTTTTTTTTGTTAGCGGGACCAAATAGAGCAATGAGCACTATAATACACATAGGAAAAAGTTTATATAAGGGTGAGGCCCTAGACAATTAAATTAATGCGCTTTTCAAAAATTCACTAGAAGAAGTTGTTTCGATGCCCAAATATCCTTAAATTGAACATTTTGATTTCAAGATGTATGAACGTAAGAAAAAATGAATTTCAATTATTGGAAATAGTGCATCTTATAATGTATTTTGTAGACTGACAATTTTCAAGATTATCAAATGTGCATAGATCAGCTCTATCTACAATTATAGATCTGCTTGATCTACACTATTTTTGAAGCTTTAAATTTTATAATTAGATATGAAAATAAGGTTTCATATCATTACAAAGATTTTTAATATTGAAATAACATCTTTCAATATTATTTGTAGATGCATCTTATTTTGATTGTTTAGGGCCTCAACTTTATACAAACTATACCCATACATATATAGATTCTTTGTCAGCTGGAAGTTTCATATACCAAATAAAACAATGAACAGTAGTTCAAATATTATAAGGATAAAGTTCATGTAAGGTTACAACCATAAGCTGCAAAATTAAGGTGTACTTCAGAAATCCATCGAAAAAAAAAAGCTCTTTTGATGTTGGGAATACCCTCTAATTGATCATCTCAACATCAAGATATATAAAAATAAAAAAAAAGAGTTCGAGTCTTAAAAATAGCACATCTTGTAGTACATTATCTCAGACTGTTTGTTTTCAAGATTTTAATGTGTTCATAGATCTACTTGATTTGAACCATGTTTTTTAAGTTTAAAATTTTAAGAAAATTATAAAAAATACACATTAATTTTTGGATTATTGGAAATATACCTTAAACTTTTCAAAACTACATCTCTACCCCTATTTTGGGTGAGTAGACGAAAATAGCCTTCATGATAGTCTTAAAACTGAAGGCATCCCGTCCATTGAAGCCATGATGGTCATGATGGGCTGTAAGTCCAATGTAGTTTTGAAATATCATGGCACTTAAAGAATCGTGATGGTCTGTTGGACTATCACGGTTTTAATTTAACTTTTATACCTTTGTAACTGGGCATAAGAATCCTTAACGACCATCACGTTGTTTAAGTGCCGTGATGCCTCAAAATATTAAAACGCCCATGACCATCACGGTCTTAAAACTACTGCGAAGGTTATTTTAATCAAAAAAATGTAAAAAGTGAAAAAAATGGGTATGGATGAGGTTTTGAAAAGTTTGGGGTTTATTTTCAATAAAAAAAAATTTTAATTTCCTAAAGTTTTATAACTAGAGATGAAAATAGATTTTCAAGCTTATGATCAATTTTAGAGATGTACATTACTTTGATTGTTTAAAGTTGCAACCTTACTGCAAATCACACCCAATATTATAAGGAGAAAGCCTCTATAGGGGTGCAATCTTATAAATTGAAATAAGGTCCACCTCAAAAATCCTCAAGAGGAGAGCGATTTGATATTAGAGAACCGTTCAATTGATCATGGCGACCTTGGGATGTGGAGAAAAACTATTTCAACTCCTAAAAACAAACTATTTGAACCATCTATTTTTAAGTGTGAATAAATTTGTTCAATCTATACCAATTTTTGAAATTTTGAATTTCATTACAATGGAAAAAATAAACTTTCAGCCATCATAAGTAGGGGTGGCAACGGTCAGGTCCGGCTAGAGCCAAACCGGGATAGTATATTTAGACCTATACCGAAGACTTTTTTGGGCTTCTCGGGTCTACCCATTGCGTCCTGGGCCTGGTTGGATCCATTGCCACCCTATGACTATGAGTTTTTTTTTTCCCCTTCTTTTTATCATCATGTACCATATGACTATGAGCTTTTTTTTTTTTTCCAATAATACTATAAATATTGCCAATAATATGACAATATGAACACCTAATGCATGCCTAAAGACACTAATTACCATCATAAACCTTATAATTACGGCTACGGGTTGGATCCGACTGGACTTGGGCCCAGACCCGAATAGTATTCAGGTCCAAAATTTGGACCTATACTTAGAGCCGAGATCTGATATTACCTGTCGGGTCCATTGCCACCCCTAATTATAAGATTTTCGATACCAGAGCTACATTTTCAAAGTAAATTTTAGAGGAGAGCCGTACCACTACATCATAAAGAAAGCGCCTTATACAAACCTCACCCATATTATGATGTATTGTCCTATAGCTATCATTTACACCAGACTACAAGGTGGGCTTTGAAATAAAGTTGCGACTCACAAGATACTCGGATGTTCATACCTCGGACAAAATGAAATTTTAAAAAAACTCGGACAAAATGAAATTTAAAAAATAAATCCTCTTATGTAAATCGGGATAATTCACCCCCTTGATGATTTTGCCAAAGACCCTTTAAATTCCCTCAACCTCGAAGCATTTTTCTATTTTAAATCACCAAACTCAAAACTTTATTGTCTTGCATGAACAAATTTGCTAAGCCAAATGAAAATAATATCGGACATGGATTAATAGCTAAGCCAAACGAAAATTCACCCCCTTGGGATATGATAGGCATTCTTACGCAGTTTTCAGTGATACGACCTGATGGGGGTAAGAAGATCTGGAATCTGGATGATTCTTAGAGGAGTTGTGCTATGGGAGATATGAAAAGAGAGGAATTGAAGGACTTTTGATGAGTCCTCATTGCCTTTTAAGCAGGTATTATTCAACATTGGACACATATTATAGAGTTGGTTGTTTATTTTGAAAGAAGGTTCGGTTGTATGAGATTAATGTTTTATTGAATCTTTCAAATCTGTTTAAGTTGGGAATGGTGATATAGGCAAAAATTCAAGTGGGTTCCTCCATTACAAGGTTGTTATAAGATAAATTTTGATAATTCTTACAGTAATCTAGGCGTTGCTGGAGTCGAGGGAGATTGGAATGAACGTCGTTTTCTGTTATGCTGGTCCTTTAGGGCATTCCATCTCAAATAATGCTAAATGGCTTATCTGTTTCCAAACTTGTAAAAGAAAGTGGTTTATATATAGCTAAGGCTCTAGACAATCAAAACAAAGTGCACATTCAAATAGTGCCAAAAGAAGGCTTGAAAAACCATTTTCATCTATAAGTACAAAATTTAAATTTAAAAAATAATATAAATCGAACACATCTATGAACATTTGAAAAACTTAAAAATTGACGGTCCAAAAATACATTACAAAATATACTATTTCTAAAGCTTGAAGTCTATTTTTTCTCATATCCATACATCTTAAGATCGAGATGATCAATTTGATGATTTTTTGGTTTCAAAATATCCTCTTTTAGTGAATTTTTGAGGTGCGCCCTAAACTGATTGTTTAAAGTATCGGCCATATTATAAGCTTTTTCCTTCTTTAAAGACTATTAGTTGGCGAAGCTGGAGCAGAGGGTACCATGACAACTACAATAGTGTTGGCTGCAGATTATAGACTCCGCAGGTTTATTGAGAGTTTCCTTCTTTGATGTCTGTGGGGAAGCTAACGAAATAGCAGATGCTTTGGCTAAAAAGGGTGCTTCTTCTCTTATAGCATCTGATGATATCAATTTTTTTTTTTTTTTTTTAATATGATTCGATGATTGTAACCTTCTGATTTAGCAATAAAAATTTGGAATATCGTCAAAAAAAAAAAAGAAGCTATAATATAATAAAATTATTAGCTTTGACGAGTTAAAATTGAATTCATCGTAATTTGTGTATCTCAATGCGGCCCGTTGCCCTGAGGCCCCTCGCCGCCTCAGCCCCGACCCCACAACTTCCCTTCACAAATAAGGAAAAATCATGAATTCCATAACTATAGTTATCAAGACCGGACAAACACTAACTAATAAAACTTATTTTTATGTTTTTAAATCCAATTCAACATATTTGGTCAACTGAACTGATTTTGACTAGACTAGATTCTTCCCAACAACACTAATTAGCCCCGACCATTCACCCGTTCATCTGATCTCATCCACACTATTGAGGAACTACTCATCTTGAACCTCTATGCCTAGTACCATAATCATAAAAAATCCTAAAATGTTTGGAACTGTCACTAAAACCAGTGAATGTGAATGACCTGGCTCACATGTGGGGCACCAAAACAATGCGCCTAATTTCCAGCTAGCAGCTCAATGGTTTAATGCCATGGCAGCCAAGAAACACCAATAAACTTATCTCCCACTCTGTTTTTATCCTTTGGTTTATGGACAACTACATGGGACAGCTCATACTACCACATACTCCATCTTTAAATTGAGAATGCACAACGAACAAAATCCCTTGCCCACAATGTAGCTAAAGCCAACAAGCAACCATCAGAATAGAGGCCCAACTTGCAATAATGCAGCATGGCCTCCAGCTTATGCCACTTTCACACAATATAATGTGATGGAAAAAAGGGGAATGAATTGCCGCAGACTCGGACCACAAAATGGGTTAAAAAAACAAAACTATAAACCCAACATGGTGTTTATTTGTTCTCTATGAAACAAACCTCTCTTTTCCTTTTTGAGGTTTGTGGCTTATTAGATATGGGAATCAGAAAAAATTATACAACCATTTAATTTTGAAACGAATAAATCGTAATCAAATTAGTAACTCGTACCCTTTTAGGCCCTAAAGAAGGGCTGCCTCCTCCTCTCGACCTTCACTCTCCGGCCATTATCATTCATTATAGGCTTCAATAGACGCTCGGCCTCAATCTCACATTGGAGAGCAACCTTCAGTCTTCTAAACTGACCTATACATTGCTTGTGATCTTGGCATAAATCATGATTATTTCTCTCCATGAAATCGAGTTTCCTCTCATACGAGGAGTGCCACTTTGCTTGGAGATAAGCAAGGGACCTCCACGGCGGTAGGGGCATGGAGTTCTGCTTAAGAGAGAACATTGCAGCCTCTGCCATCACTTGGAGGAAGTGCTTCAACCTGGCAAGGGAACCAACATACACCACAGGGAGAGAATTCAAGATGGTGTCGTAGGTTTTAGTTGCACGCGCAATCTCAAAATGGCTTCGGAAGTCGATGTCAATAATCATGCGGTCAGGCAACGTGTGGTTCCCACCAGACACCACGTCAACGTATTCGTGATCACCTTCATATGATACGAAAATTTTAAGAAAATGAAGAGAAGAAGTCCCATAGAAGAAAAAAGAAAAGGTAGTATACAGCAACAAGTATCAACAGGTCTGTCCATTTTTGCCCAATTTAGATGACCAATCACAATATGGGTAATCCTCATGGTGAGAAGTACCTCCGTGTTCTAAGTTTCAGAAAACCATCATAAATTTTCAGAGGCCATAATAAATATAGTAACAGATTTCCATGTTTATCTACCAGCATGGTTCCTAAATCTTAGGAATGAAACATTGCCAACACATCGAACCCTATCCCAAAGATTAACTCCCCGAGAAATCATAAAGCGACAATATTCATCAATAGGGGGGGGATGACACAAGCTCCAATAAGATACATGGTAAAGAAACATACACATATTTGGCAAGAAAATGAAGAAGTAGAAGAAATGACAGAGTGAAATATTTTTAGTAAGCAATAGATTACACTAAGCTTAAATAAACCGAGGTGGGCCCAATGTCAATAATGGTACAATGAACTTACCCCCTGGAACTTTGCCGGAACCCTGCCATTTGGATACACATACAGCAGCATCATAACCAGACATCCTCAAGAGCTTCACCAAGGACAGCCGGATACAACTGGAATTGCAGCCACCAAATTTAAAAAACTGCAGATCTGTCTCATTGATAGAAAGTAAAAGCATGTGGACGGTTGATATGAGATCACTCTCAGCCTGCTCTACATTGTGCTTGTGAAACTGCATCATAGTAGCATAACAAAATGAGATGATAGAATTACTCCATGTATTTAAATGTTTTATTAAGAATCATACTGCACCTAAAATGCTAGAACAAATTCCTGCTTTAAACCATTGTTGTTTAACACACACAATAATTCGAATCTTAAATTATGATGATCCAAATCCTAAATATGGGTGTGTGTGTGTGTGAGAGAGAGAGAGAGAGAGAGACAGAGAGAGAGCGAGAGAGAGAGAGAGAGAGTAGTTCTTTAGTATTCTACTAATTATCTTTGTTTCG